GCTCTTTGATTCGAAGTGAATCCTAGGAGAGAAGACACCGATCACACCTCTGAGCATCGCAAGGCTCCTTGACCACCTACTACTAACGACAAAGTTGCATTTGTATTCCCACTGTCCTTCTCTAACTCTGGCGATCCCTTTCCGCAACTCACTCAGAACAAGAAGCACCGTCTTGCCCACACTGGGTTTCCCTTTTGGAATAATATCCACAGATCTTTGGCCATCCAGACACTCCGGCTGGCTGGACGTCTGAACCACTGTCTAAGCCAGCACGTCCCCTGGTGGGTTTTGGTGTCTGGAGGGATTCGGGGGTCTCATGTGCGTCTCAAGTGGACATCACTTTTATTCCCTGCTTTCTTACACTGCCTTTGTCACTTCTATTACTGATGATATAAAAGAAATGAGGATGACTAAGGAAAAAAATAAAGAATAAGGAAGGCGATTGCTTAAAATACAACGGCATTTAAAAACTAGATTGGCAACTCTCTTTAAAAACAGTGCCTCTACCACAGCCTTACCTGGCCTCGGCAATAACCTGACTGCCTGGAAGCTGGATGAACTTGACCTCACAGGGTCAGACATGGCAGCCCAGGAGAGGGCCAGGGCCGGACATGGGGCGAGGTCATGTAAACTGGACAGAGTCTCCACCATCTTTGCCTTTTAATAGAAGATTTGGTTTAATCATTTCTGAGTACAACACAGTTCTTTTAAAAATAGAGCTCTTTTCTTGTTCTTTCACTTGGAGGTGAAGGGGAGTAAGGCCGGCTGTAATTCCGGAGGGACGGGCCGATGCTCATGGCTACGGACAAACCCCTCAGGGGTGCTGATGCTCACCAGCCGCCCACAGCACGGACGAGCCAACGTCAAATCCACGGTACTGATGAAGCACAACACAGCTCCAGGGCCCACCAGGGATGGTGTGGACTCCCCCCGAGTGCGTCACCGACTAAAGGGAGTCACGGCTCACACGGGGCCGGACGGCAGGGACCCGTCCCCAGGAGGTGTGGGAGACAGAGTGACCCTGCACACATTTACTGGAAGAGGACAGGCGCCCTCCTGCACAGGGTTAAGGATGCAAGTGCATAAACACACGAGACATAGGAACGCAGGGCTGTGGACGTCAAGCTCCCACCCTGGGCCAATGCGGACCTGGATTTAATATCATGGAACTTGCTGGGATTTTCTCACAACACAGATTTAGAGTCAGGCTCTCCCCCCGCCCCAAGGAAGGGCCTGGTTAGCTCCTGAATCCAAAGATGCCCTTGATATATCCGGTGAGGCCACTCTTGGTCTTCTGCTCCAACTTGTCCTCGAGGGGTGGGAAAGCCACATGGTTGAGGGCCAGGTCAAAGAACAAAGGCTTGCAAGGGATGGGCTGGAATCCCGGCGGGAAGTGCACGAGGCTGGCTTGCTTGGTGACGAGAGAAGGGTCCAGGCAGAATGTCTCAAACCGTTCAACCAGAGGCTGGAAGGCAAACCAAAGGCAGAAGTCTGGGCGTTCAGCACTGAAGGCCACCTCTGGCACACTCACTGGGTGCTGTGCTCCAGCCCAGGGCTTCACATGCCTCATCTCATTCCATCCTCACTTACCCCCTATGAGGAGGTGCTGTCACCTCCTCATCTTCTCTATCAGAACCACTGACATTAGAGGTTACGAGAGGGGTGGGCAGGGATTGGAGCAGAGGTCTATCAGACAGCCAAGTTAGAGCTCCTAACCGTGGATGCTACTCTGCACAGCAACAGAGTCGTCAACCTTCCTATTTGGGGGCAATCTAGACACGTAACTAACTTCAGATGGGCAGATATCAGAACTTTAAGAGAAGGGAGGAAAGCAGGGTGTTTCCTTAGAAATCAAGGCTCCTCTATTCTACACCCTACAAAATTAGAGTATATCCCAAGGGAGTTACTCATCCTACTCTTCATTCCCCAAATGCCATAGCCCAGACTCACCTTATTGTCCTTGACTTGGGAGGATGTCTCTGTTTGGTGGGAGTCGCTTGCATCTGAAAGTTTCACAGTAAGAACAGGGACTTAACACCTTACAGTCACGAA